AAAGGAGAACTATGAGGTGAGTGCTTTTTACTCACCTCATAGTTCTAGCCGACCTGTGACAATGAGACTGTCACAGGTCGGCTCAGTAGATCGGGAAGTGAGCGAACACATACCGGCGTTCGCTCACTTCTCGATCCGGTCACGGCTCTCTGCCGTGACAGGGGAGGGGCTGGATTCCCCCCTCCCCGCTCAGATCCGCCAGCGCTGACTGGCGGAACGGACTGGGGAGGGTACAGCTGGCTCTGCCTCTAGATAGGCAGAGCCAGCTGTCAGTCACGCAGCTGGGCGGCTCCAGGCGTAATTGTCGGGATCCTCTTCAGCTGCGGCGTCTCAGTATACTGAGCTTAGGGTAACGGGAGGACGCTAGTTTGTGTCCTCCTGTTACCCTAAGGAGAACTATGGGGAAAAGCCTTAACCCCATAGTTCTCCTTTAACTAGCAAGCTCTGAGCTGCAAGCTGTATGAGGGAAATGAGAAGAGACTAAAAGCAATCTCTATATATTCTTCACGGTTTGCAAAAATGTAAACAGGAGGTTGTGAAATATAACATTACATCCATCCTGTGCAGCCCACTCTCTAATTTAGAAAAATGTCAGTAAAATGGATGTTTGCCATCTCTCTAGAATACAACCAGGTAACGATCTGCAATAAGGTGAAGTAAAACCTTTACAATGCATGATGTAGGCTGGGAGGGGGGTGGTGGTTGGTTAATGCTTATCCCTCCTCTATCAAGCGCCATTCATTTGTCTCCCACCAACCTTTTTGCTTCTCATGTAGGAAAGCCTTCCCTCGTGAGCATCTGGGTAGGTACAGAATAGGTAGGTGGTGATGCCATGTTTAAGAAAGGAATCCCCCAGCATTTCAAGCCTTTCCAGGTTGAACCCATCACTGGCATTGGACAAAGTCAACGCTTGCAGAATAAGACCGGGGTTTGGCCCGAGAGTTCTGGAGGAGTACCCGTTGGAAGTCCCGCTTTCACACTTTACACCGTTTGCGACAGGGGGAACTTCTGGGTAAACCGTAGTTGCCAAAGAGGCGGGGCGCCCATCTGAGGTAGGTTTGGTAGCATTCAGGTCGTTACACTTATCACTCACAGTACATTCGTTGTTGGTGATGGGCTGGTTGTCAATTGCGTTTTTAAGAGGGAATGAGGTAGAGGACTGGGCGGGTACTTCCCATCTGCAGCTAGCCGGCTGACTCCCCGGGCAGACGTCGCACCCTCCATTTGCGAGCCCGTTGCAGGACACGCCGTTAACCATTGCGTGGTCACCCGATGCAGGCGCCGTCTGGAGGTTGCCGGGGGATTTCAGACTTTTCGGCTCCGTGTGGTTCACAGACATTTGGTCATCAATTTCTATCGGGGCCTCTGGCTTAGCAGCACGATCAGGGACGCCTGGGATACTGGGCTTACAGTTATTTCCGAGGTCAGAAGATGTCGGATTGAGATTTGAGATGAAAGTCTTGCTGTCAATGGACCTTTTCCATCCAAAATCCAGGTTGGGATACCTAGAACATACGGTGAACTCAATGTGTAAAATCCCAAAAGCCATTACTCATCAAGGTGTCAAAGAAAAACACACGAGATAGTCCGCAGCAACAAACCCGGCTGAATCCTTCCTTCTCGAACACCAAGCTGAAATGGAGCTCTCACTTCCTGGGAGTACAACCTACAAAAGGGACGGGAACACCCTTGTGCACCTGCCGTCCTCTGAGGGGCCAACACCCAGGCTGCCTGCTGTGTCTACTAATGGACGTCCGGGAAAGTGTTTGCTACTAACGGGACAGTAACATAAAAGATAAAGAATCCCTTGTCCTGACCAATGGGGATGGTTGACTACAAATAATCCTATTTTCTACATCTTTCACTGTAGAACACAGTGCCATACATTAATATACATGTACAAGGTCCCAAACTGAAAGGGTGGGAAAGTGCAGCCAAGCAAATTTAGGTGCGAACGTTGCAGCACGGGGGAAACCATGGCCAATCATACAGCTGCCCCCAGGAACTTCTACCCAATGCTAGCGTCTGCTGGAGGAGGCACATCCACCCTAGAGAACTTAGTAAAGGTGTGGATGGAAAACCAGGTCCCTGCCTTACAAACCTGTGAGAGCAAGGCTTGAGCTATACAACAGGTACATGTGAATAGCCTCTAGAGCCTTGGTTCTCAACTGGTGGATCGTGACCCAAAAGTGAGTCGTGGCCCCCGTGTTCAGTGGGTCGCCGCATGCCTTCCACTTTTCTAGGCGAGTGGCTCCTTAGCCTCCCCCTAGTGCAGCACTGTCAGTTCTCACGCCGAGCAGCCATTCAAAATATGCTGTCAGGTGCCGAGTGACTGCTTAAAGTGGGGGTGGGCTAGGGCTATGGCTGAGGGAGCTCCATCCATACGCGCATTGCATACAGCATCCTCGCATGTCCTGTAGAGGTGCCTGGACCGGAGTGATGTCACATTCTGGCACCTCTACAGGGCACGCAAGGGAGCTGTACCAGCAATGCACATATGGATGGAGCTCCATCACAGCAGCCCACACTGGACTCCGGGCTGAGGATCCACTCCAGGTCTCGTAATATAGGGAGCTGGGGTGGATCTTAAATAAAACAAAACACAATTTTTAGGTGTGTGTAAGAATGTCTGAGTGTGAGAGATTGTGTGCGTCAATGTTTGAGGGCCCTGCGTCAATGTTTGAGGGCCCTTTCAGACTAGTACAGTCCCGTGCGATTATCGCACTGTACCGCACAATCCGCTTTCTGGTGTGGGAGGTGCATTGCCATTCATTTGAATGGCACCCCAAACACACCTCCCGCCCACAGTTCAAATGGCAGCACAGGAAAGCGTGGTACCGCAATGCCGTGCATTCCATTGCAGTGCGACTCGAGTCACAATTTAATGGCCATGGGCTAATGTGGGTCCTGAGGTTACACAGGTTGAGAACCACTGCTCTAGAGGGGGAAAAACCCTTTTCTGGTTTCACTTGGTATCCAATCCCCCTGCATGAGGCAATATACCCACATGTATATGAACACACAATGCTACTGCATACCTCAATGAACAATGGAGACAACAAGTTATGGTTGGTGATATACTGTAACGTCTATAAAACGGTTCTTAATTCCATTGCTTTATGATTTTAACAGCCATTCACATGTTATGTATCAACACAGAAAAGATTTTGGAGTTCCTAAAAGTGGTTCTTACCGGAAATCCTCAGGTAGGGACTTCATGCCAACACCGGCATCAGTTGCTGTCTGAGCCCGGAGTTCCTCTGCTGTCAGGAGGCAATGCATGCGATAGAGGATGCTGGGCAGGCAGACGGCCTTCCTCCACAAGGACGCCGGGATGGGATGTATTGCGCAGAGCTCTGGAACAAGAATCTGAAAGGCGCAGAGAAATAGTGTGAGTGGGAGACATATTCAATATGGCAGCGCAAAGGGGCGACAGGCAAAAGAGCCAACTCCAAAATGATTGCAAGTATAGACAACAGAAAAAAATCAACCCGATGGGAAAGAAACTCTTCCTGATGGGGAGTGATCATGTGATATGATACAGACTGCATGGGCTTTAGGTCACATGATGAAAACTATAAAGAAGATTTTGCTTCATGGCTAGAAAGACTCCCCCGACCCCCCAGCAAAGTAACTGGGTGATGCTAAAACATCCCCTATTGATTTATGTGAACTCTCATTAAAGGTCGATTTTAAAAGCTGTTTTTGCACAATTCTGAGTGTTTTTTAAATATAATTAGTGAAGAGAAACATTCATTCATTCAGTACCTGCTTGTTCTGTAAACTCTCCCACTTTGCCTTCCTCTTCTCTGCGCTGCTTAAAGGAAGAGCTTTCCCCTTCTGGTTCAGGTGGCGTGGAGTCAGCAGGTTAAGTCTACAAGACAGCATTTCAACGTGCATGTTAGTCTGAAACAGTATGGCAGAGGCTGCCGACAACGCCGCCTCCACTGCAGTGGAATGCCAAGCAGTGTTGTCAGCTCTACCTGAGATCTCTTCCGCTTGATGACAGAATATGCTACGGAGATGAGAAAGGTGTTCTTGCTGTCCGGCAGATGAGAACTCAGGCAGAGCTGACAACACTGCTTGCGATTTCAGTGCAGCAGAGGCAGTATTGTCAGCTCACTCATAATGTGCTTTTTAAGCTGCAGCAAATCTCATTATCTTGCTGGATGATGCCCAGCATCATCTAACTCTTCACTCCACAGCCTGACAGTCTGTTTCTATTCAATGGATTTCATGTCTTTCAACCACTGAGGCCCAGCACCGCATGTATGCATGCATGCAAGCATTAGCTAGTGCGGCCTTATGCAAAGGCAGCCTGTCTAGGAACGCCCACTTCTCCAGACCCACATCCACCCATCAAGGCTATTTGATATTTGCATAACTCCTCCCAAAAGACAGCCCACTGCTTGCTCAAGAGTACTGTAGCAGGGGGCTGTGATATTTTCAGGAAGCTATGTACAGCATCCTTCTCCCCCCCCCCCCCC